CGTTGAGTTCCAAGTAAGTACCAAACAAGTTTCTATGAGAAGATGGAAACCCCTCCAACAGCAGGGTCTATCAAAGGAATAAAGTCTCGCTGACTCTGAGTGGCTTGCAATCACTGCAATGCAATCACATGCCAATCATACAGCTATGGGCGCTTCTGAGCCGGCAAGAAAACCCTGCTTTCAATATATGTTTCAATATTGTTGAAGTGAATGATGCTGTCGATCTTCAATACATCGCAAGGCCGCTACAGCCCTCATGATCAGGTACTTTTCCCTGCAAATGACCTGTCATCAGTTTTGATCCCAGCAGGTGTCCGCAGGAGGCCATGCCATCAGTCCCGAGTAGAACTGATTTCAATAGATTGGATGTGATCAATGCTGTGCCGGCTGTGTGCCGGCTGTGTGCCGGCTGTGTGCCGGCTGTGTGCCGGCTGTGTGCCGGCTGTTTGAATGCCTCAGATGTACCCGTCAGCACTGTGCCAGGTTTGAGCCTGGCCTGCACAAATGTCAAAGCACTTCCCCAACACTGTGGCCAGCAGTTGTTATACATGTAACCGTGCTATTTGGTTGATTGGTTTATCTATTTGCAATTGAAATACAGTATATATCCCAAAAAACAAAGCCCCAGGAACTTCACCATGATTTCACTTTCTCAATTAGTCATCCCTGTGGCCTCCGTTGTCGCACAGATTTCCCCTGACTGAAGATTTCACTGCTTTTGGCCCCTACAACGGACATGGGGTGGAAGCCGCTCCGGCCGAGGGAGGCGCGGATCGGCTCAAATTAACAAGTGTCATTCCCGATACGTTTGAGTGGTGAATCCACACCTGGTCAGGATCGTCAACTTGGTTTGGGGCAATTCAACTGTGGTACCCCAATGAAAACACAAGAAAATCAACAGAGTAGATCATTTTGAATCCAGCACATTCCAGGACCGTTCTCAGGTCAGCATGCCATGTAGGGAACCGGAAACCTATCAGTTCTTACCCAGTCTGCGCCGGACATCGCCGGGAATCAGCACATCACACCTGATCAAATGATTCTTTTTTCAGTGAGCGCACCGTGTCCAGCCACAACCTCGTTTCAGTGGGCCCGGCAGATTGGGTGCCAGCGGGTGCCAGTGCAAGTTTGTGGGGCTTGAAAAATTCTGCAATGCTTAGCATAGTAAGAACAAATTAACCTCAACGAAAACCAAAAAAGTTAAAACTACAAAGGCCAATGGCAAACGTCACTTGTGGGTATTTTTGGGGTCAAAATTACTCCAGCATTAGGGCCCCAATTCCAAGAAACATCTGAGGATAGATCAAGCCATTGAGTGCAACCTAAAGCTGGGCCTTTGCCAACATGGCTTCCCGGGGGGTTGTATGTTTGTTTCTTTTGTGATTTGTTCCTTTCTTCTTTTCTTTGCGCTCACTGGAGTTCTTATTTCTTTCCCTTTGCTGATGGGATGGTCAAAGCACAGCTTGCTCACACCGGACGGTGTTTTATTTTGAGAGAGGTGTGGGTAGGACCCACTCCTTGTTTTGCAGTGAAGGTAAATGCTTGTGGGTTAGAATATATTCGATTTCAGATTCGGGACATTGTTGTTCACAGGTCTCTTGGCCACCATTGTTCGATGTTAGCCCTTTTGGGTTTCTTACAGAACCAAATTTTGTGTGGCCTTCGTTCCATTTTTGCCTCACAGTTCCCCACGTTCCTATGTGCTCACCATGTGACTCCTCACAGGCGTGCAAGAGCTGCGGCTGCTCCGCAAACTGCGCAGCCGCATCCTGGGGATACCACGGTGATATGGCGATGACCCATGGGATAGAATCGGATAGAACGGATCCAGAGGTGACCAAATAACCGGCACAGCAATGTACAGGATGTATAGCCCCAGATAGCCTTCGACGTGTCGGACATGATGTGTCCACTATGCAAAAGATACTGAAAATCAAAGACTTTCGATCCTTTGGGTTGCCCGCTACACGTCCAATGAGATACAGTAAGACTTGCGATAACCCCTAATTTTGGATGGTGAATTCACATGTTCTGGTTGCCACCAGGCAGCGCATGCATGTGACACGGCATCAAAGCAAGGCACCTCGGAAAGCAGAACAACTGGGGTTGGTTTTGGGTCAGGAGTCAGGTTGTGACCAATCAAAAATGATGGAGAAATTAACATAAACACCAGGATATAATCAACAAGGGCGGTGAGGTAGAGCAGCTGATGCAAAGAAACTCGCAAAATTCAGATATCTTCAAGTCATTTCAAGTCTAAATTAGTGGCCATGCTCTCCAGCAACCTGTGGTCATTCCTTCTCTGATTCCGTAGGCTCACCCCTCCAGTGTAGCGGTCAAGCGAACAAAAAGAAAGGGATTTCAGATTGAGAATTGAATCGTAAAGACCTGGATGTCTCAATATGTCTCATCTGGTACAAATGGACCATTTTGAGAAAGGCATGCATTAAAATCGTTAAAACGTGAGGCTCCTGGGATCATCTGTCAACCCAATTTGGGGACATAATTTTCATCAATTTTCCCAGGAATTCCTCCTGGCACCTCCAAACTAACTTTCAAAAGTCACCTTGAAGGACGCGTGTTGTGTCCCGGCCACATCCATGGCCACCCGAGCCATGTCCATCCGCCGCACCAATTCAATGGCCATCCGCCAAGCGCAGCCAGCGCTGCGCAGGCCACGTAGCGACAGCAGAGCACCACTGAAACACAAGATGTTGGGCGTCACCTGTTGCTGTGATTGAAACATGTAGAACCCAAGTAATGCTGGAAAGTCTTGTGATCATAACAATTGTAGGGATGGAAACTGAAACATCGAAACTACCAACATGGTTTGTTCATGGAGATCTTTTTGGATCCATGTAAATCCCCATGATCATTTTGCTGCAAGAATCACATTATTCAGAATCATGATTCTTGTCCAGAAAGGGATCAAAACAGAGTTACATGAGTTACCATCCCCCCAACTAGTCATGTTGGTGAAACAGTGAACCATCCTGAATTCCTCCATGGGTTTGTCAGCCTCCCGCTGAGCCATGGAGGTCAGCAGCTGCAACACCACCTCCCAGCGACCAGCCACGTCGCAGCTGCTGATGGCACTTCCGAAACCTCGGAACGACTCGGAACAGGTGAAATGATGGGATTCTGAGGAGACCCGGCCTGGTAAACCAACACTTTAAGCGAACTTGAAAATGGGAAATAGTGGATTTACCCATGAAAAATGGTGATTTTCCAGAGTTATGTAAACGTTTACCAGAGGATATCCCAATGAGTCCCAAGGCTTATGTTGGATATGGGATTAATATATATTATATACTGTAATGATGGGATATCCCAGGTGTTAGTATGTTGGATCAGTAGTAATATATCATAGTATTGGCATGGATGCATGGGATATTGGGATATTCCATTTGGCTTTTCATAATAAGTGGGATTCTTAATTGTCGTAATATTGGGATACCCGTGGGGGTTTTACATGGCTTTTACCTGTGTTTTACATATTTGACAGAACTGATATTGCCAGAATTTGCCATTTTTTCATGGGATATGTCGGATATGTCATAGATTGTCATAGCATCATCTAGCATCATTTCAAACATCCCATGGGATGGAATTTGGTTTCGGGATCGCTGGAGATGGTTCTGGTTGGGATTGGTTGGGATGGTCTTTCGAAATGGAATATATATATATATATATTATATATATATGGTGTATTGGTTGGGATACACTATATATTATATGTTGTATATGTTGGTCTTTCGAAATTAAGATCATTTAATCACCTTCATCGACAGACCGACAGACTGAGGAAAAATGTGTTTGACCAATTTTGACCATTTGTCCACCATCGTCACCACGCACATCACCCACACCTAAGCCCTGAAGTCGAGCCATGTCAAGCCACTGACCACGTCTGGAGGATGCTGCTGGTCCTCCATCAAAAAAAGTAAAGAGAGTGCCTCAGCCCAACGGCCATCTTCTTTGCAAGCACCAATCACAGCGTTGAAACCTCGGCAGTCACTGGAAGTTCATCCATAAACCCATGGAATCCCATGGATGGTGGGATCCTTTGGGTTTTTCGGGAAGACTTTGTTGGGAATCGATAGTGCCATAGTTGTTGAATTTTTGAACTCTCTGACCATGATTGCTTGGGCCACTTTGGAGTGAGAGTGATTGGTGATTTGGATCACACCTGTGCGCATCCTATGCAGAGAGGGTCGCAGGCAAACTGTCATGATTCCGCCCCAGAAGTGACCAACCCAGGCCACATCATCAACCCGATCGTCACATGTGGATCAGAGTTTAAGAGCCTTGGAACCAAAAAAACACAAGTGTTGGTCATCTTTGGCACTCACATGCATGTCCATCCCATCTTTTAGTTCCAGTTTTACTCCAGTACCCACATCAGCGGGCAGCTTCTTCCAGTTGCAAACATGCTGCTGATGTCATTGGCCGGTATGCGCTTACACGTCATCTCAAACAGCAGCAACAAGGCTTTCTCCCAGAGTCCGCGGTTGGCACACGCACTAATGGCACTGCTATAGCTGATCATGTCAGGAGCCACCTTGACAGGTCATCCCAGCATGTTTTTGGCGGTCTGGCTTTAACCCAACCGGATCAAATAAGGCACCACTGCATACGGGGTGAGTCTTCGGAAGAGTGACATGGAAGGGGAACACCTTTGATCTGAAAAGCATCTAACTACACTAACTGAAACTCCTCAGGTGAAAATTCTGACAAAGAAAACTCTGCTGATCACTACCATCAAGGGTAGCGGTACTGGGAAATTGGGAACGATCACCTGGTTGGATTGACGGATTGACATTGTGCACCTTAAACTGTGAGGATGCCGCGAGGATCCGCACTGCCAGCTCCCAGACGCCACCCTTCTCGCAAGCGGTGATGACCTCAACTCCCAGACACCAACTCCAGAAATGTCCAGATCTTTCAGATCTTTCTTCAATGCCGTCAATGCCCAAAAAAAACAACTGAGTGTCTCACATGTCCACCTTCCCTCCATTTCTTCATTGCTTATCTTCGCTGCCGGGGGGCTCCGTTCACCTCGAACACGCTGGCGGAAGGTCTCAAGAGCTGAAGGGCCTGGGGCCACTGCCCAACGCAGGCATTCAGGACGCTGCTGAAACCTGTGGACTGGATGGTTTAGCATCGATCATCGTCCCAGGGTAGAGTGCAAAACTAAAACATGTTTGAAACATTGTGAAACCACCAACAAATGCCAAACAAATGAGGGTACTTGTTGATACTGGGATGTGAGAGATTGCAGACAAAATCTTCCGGTCTTTAATGCCCTGGTATGATTGGATGATGTCATCGGGGCCAACTCCTAAATGGCTAATGGTTTGATGGTATGGCATGCAACATATCTCCTAAGATCAAAACATCCATCGAATATTCAGCTTGAAAAAATGACGGTGACACCCTCTGTGGATGTGACTGACCGGTTCTTCTATGGGGCTGCCGGGGCTGCTGAATTATTTACCAGCATTCTAATTGACACATCCTTCAAATCCCAGCCGCACCACACTCGAAAGTATTTTTTCCTTGCCAATGGGGTTTCTGCAGTGCTGTATCGGGGTTGGGATCATAACTGGGATAAACGATGATAAACCCAATCCAGCATATTCTTAGAAGGTATTTGCTGAGAATGGTGCCAAAACTTGTCCCAAACTGAGGTGCCAACCAGTTTCGCTGGGCGAAATGCCATCCTGCCTGGCTACCGGTTCTCATAACAAAAACTGTAGTGTAACCAAGAAAAAACTGGGGTGCCTCCCTAGAAACTGACATGAAGCTCTATACAAAATGGCTTTGGAAGACAATTTCCTCCCGGAAATAGTAGGGTTGCAGGGTAGCAGCTCTGCGAAGACTCCACTATCCACGCCAACTGCCTCAAGAGATGCAGCAGCTGCATGGCATAGGCCCAGCGCCGTGCCCCAGCCAGGCCGTGTAGCAAGCTGCCATAGGTGATGAGGTTGACCTGCTCCAAAGAACAAGTGGCTTAGTACGGCTTTATGGGGCACCACCTATGTTGGCAGCTATAACAACTATAGATAACTACAGTTAGTTTGTAAGCTGATGTTTACCTTATTCAGAATATGTTCGAATATGTTGCAATGGTTGAAATTAGTGGATATGGTGCCTTTTGTAACTATTCATGCGGTTGGAAGGTGGAACCCCAATGAACTCCGCTGGACAAAGCGCCATTGATGGATAATCACGGATAATCATTCCTACAACCCCGTTGATACGTGGGATTGGGGTCGGTTGTTTGTGTGGCAGCTCCACTCAAAGATAAGACTGAAAGCAAATGGAACGGAGGATATGGGCATTCACTGGCTGCACACATATCTTGATCATTTCGGATCATTTCGACACATCGAAAAAATCGATTGGGTACCTCAAGTTCTTTCATTTCATGGTTGCCTTTTTCAAATATGCCATATCCAATGTCGCATTCAACATTGCCAACCAAAATGGGATTGCTGAATGGCTAGAAAAATAGATCCTTTCAAGGGCAAAACCAGCGGTATCCCACCAGTTTACTTTGCAGGTTTTCAGCCCCCATCCAAGTCTCCTGTGCACACATCGAGTCGATCACGTGGCAGCCTTGCATCCAACGGCCGCGCAAGGCGCACGCATGCGTCAAGCTGCCAAAACCTCAAATGATGAGCCGGGAAGATCCAATTTTCTGACGCTGCACTTTTTTTGCATCAAATATCTTTAACATTCTTTAACCATCTTTCACCCCTCAAATTTGAGCGGATGTGGCATTCTTCTAAGGTCACTATCTGTCACTATCTCTCACTACCTGTCACTGTCGGTCACTATCTCATCCCCAAAACGGTGTCACCATCGCCAGAGGCATTTCGGGGCCATGGCACTCACAGCATCCAGTGGCAGATCGGCTTCTGCTTGCACGGCAGAGGCCAAAGATAGAGCCCACGCTCCTGCCTCGCACTTGAGGCATTCCACTGGTCAAGAACACAGGTGAAGTGGTCAGAAGTCGTATCCCAATCTTGAGGAATTCATGAATTTCGACACTTGCAAGCATTGATGTTTTAGTCCTCCAAATGCAGAAGTTTTTTGTAAACACCACTCCAACTATGAGAGTTGTACCATCCCACAACTGGCCTTGCTACAAATGTCCAAGACCACGTTCACATGGAAGACATCCTGAGACCAAGGACAGTGATCATTGTGATCCATGTCACAAATTGGCCGCTGCTCATGCTTTGGTTTTGGCATACCTGTAGTTTCCCAGAAGTGTCTCCCAAGTTGGCAGAGATATCACTCTTGGGCCTGGGGTTGCCACAGAGACCATTTTGTTGATTGGTGGGTTTCCCATGTTCCAGACCTCAACTGTTTGCAAAGTGCAGCCATGGCACGATCTCCACCTGCAGACGGCGAAGAAATGGGCTTGGGCCAGTGCAAATGGGTCAAAATTTAAAATGCAATGACAGGTTCTCAAAAAACAATTGACTTTTGTCAGTTTCAGTCGCAAGCATCCAACTTTGGGCAGTCAACCAATTTGGAGAAGGAAAACAACTGCTCCCAAGGGTGGTCCTTGTGTCAACACCGCCCGGGAATCGGGTCATCTTTTTATCCACTATGCATTTATAAGATGGCAGACAGGAAACTCCGAGTCATGAGCATTGCCCATCTTGAATTCTAGGGTCAGTGATTGATGTGCCATGATGTGCCCTCCACTTTGCTTCGTCGATATTATACCTACTGAATAGCTCCAGACAGTGTTCTCTTCGCTTCTGGCCCGAGTCGGTTTAGTTTTGGACCCATACGCTGTTGGCCGCCAAGGCAAATAACCCAGCAGCATCCAGCAATTCCTGTCCTAAAATCCGACAACCGTTTCCAACTGATATTTTTCAATCAAGTGTCCTCCCACATCTAAACTGCCCCTATTCAAAAGCCCAAGAACAACCATCCCTTTCCCAAAAAATGTTTCTCATCGCAAAAAAATCTACAAACATCTTCCATCCGCACCATCCGCACCATCCGCACCATCCGCACCATCCGCACCAGGCCTGGTGTAGCCTTAAGGCCTTCAGCAAGATCACCGCCTGCCACGGAAAGCCCTTGAAGCTCTGCAGCAGCGGCAGCGCCGTCTGTGGCGCGCGGCGGAAGCGCTGGAGCTCACGCAGCGCGGCCAGGCCTAGCGACACCAAAGAAAGCAACAGGATGATACATTTCTTTGTGAATTTTGGGTAGTTTATATATATATAGAGTATATATATAATCTGTATGTGTATATATATATATATGTATCATTATGTATCCATACAATATCCATGGTGCAAAAAGAGGTACAGTATATGACTATTTTGATTGACCAACAATCAACTGGGGATGGAGAGTCAATGAAAAATGACAGTGTGAAGGGAAAAATGACAAACTGACTGCGGGATGTCGCTAGGCAAACAAGGGGGAATCAAAATGTATGAACGATGATAAGCGCGGCAACCACCAATGGGGACATGACAAACTGAAAATGAGGTCATACATCATACCCAGAAAGTGAACAACCAATGGAAAGTTACTATCATCAATCAAAATCTGGATCATCATCGACTAAAGAAGTGAGTCAAATCCATCACGAACAATAAGAATCAAAAGCAACAGGTATTGACATACATAAGAATTTGACATGTAGATGCGAGTCAACGAAATATCAATATGGATTTCACCAAAAATTGAAGAGTTCAATGTGCCAATAAAACGTGTAGAGAACTGAGATAGCCAACAAAGGGCGGATATCAATTGCACTGATGGGTGTGGGTCCAAATCTGACACATACTGTAGGCGGATAGCATCTTCGAACACGGACAGAGTAGGTCTGATGGTATCTCCCTCAACCATCCTGGGTGGTTCAAGATCTTGTTCAGTGGCAGCATATCACGGCACAGTGGTTTACATCCTCAGAACGAACAAGCTGAAATAGACCGTTTGGGGATTTTCCCCATCTGCTCTGATCAGTTGGGGGTCTGAAGTTTTTTGACCCATGCCCACAGGATTTCACACAGGAACATCTCCCTGCGGTCCCTGCGTATGAAATACATTATGAATTGGATTCATTGGATTCCACATTTACATGGCTCCAAACTACCCCTAACATCCCGTAACTACCCTCAACCAAAACTGGAGTTCCAAAACTCATCACGACCCACGGCCGTCACCATATCTTGGACTCCACAGACCCCACGGCGGACCACGGCGGCCTGCCGAGCTGGGCTTCCGCCCCAGGAGGCGCACTTTCTGCAGCAGCTGCAGATCGCTGCGACGGTAGGCGTCCATCCCATTTCATCCCGGAACAAGGAGGGCATGCTTTGGGTCCCAAAATGTCCCAAAAATCCTTGATTGGAAAGAAAACATCCGTTCAACAAATATTGCAGGGATGGTTTCAAGATTGTTTTAACACTGACAGGTATTGCTGCCACACGGCCCTCCCCACCAGAGATGTGAACCGGCACCATTCTTGGGCCAAACTGACAACATCCCGCAGTCGGGAGCTTCATCCGTCGTTCGTCGCGAGGGTTCCGCCCATCCAGAACGATCCCCGAGGGTGAACAACAAGCACCCTTTTCTTGCAGCTGTTAACAGCAAATTCAGCGCGTAAAATCCAGCAGTTCCAAGCAGCGAGTAGTGTGGGGGTTCCTCCAGGGCAGTTTCTCTATCCGATGATGTTGATGATTCTGGTGCCAACTGATCGCCATCTGTGAAAAACTCTACGGCTCCCCCCTCAGCTTCACACGCCGCATCCTTTTTTGGCAATCCATGGCGCGGCGCTATGGCCACGTGGTGTAAAGCAGCGTCCTCGCTTCCATCGGCCTTTCCAAGTTGGAGATCTTGATCATCCCAGTCAGCGGCAAGAAACCATGGAAGCTCCTTACCACCAGGGGCTAGAGCCATAGGTGATGGCAAATTTTAGAAAATCCCAGAGAAAATTACCCAGAATGTGTACTGTATTTTTTTGCACCTCGAATGTGAAAAATCACACTGCGAAATCGAAGAGTCTATATTCTTACATTTAGTGAGAATTTCAGAAAATCCCACCGGGAGAATTCTCTATAGTTTCCCAGCCAGGTGCTAATTGCAATAACATTCGAGGTCTACAATTGTTGCCATTCTTCCCACCTCCCTTGTGGTCATCTGCATCTGCAGCAACGTGCAATCTATTCAAGACCCGTCCTTTTTTGGGGAGTGTCCCAAGGGTCACAAAAAAAAGGAACCTCGGGCTTTTTAGGCAATTGTAACTGGATCTCTAAACCCAGCTTTGTACCTGGTAAATATGATTCTTGTATGTGTATATATATATATATATATGTATTAATATACATACATACATACATACATGTATATATATATACATATACATGTATATACTGTTTACTTAAATATCTATACATATACACATGTACAATACACATCTCTTGTCATCTTTGCAGTATGAATTTATTTATATAGTATAGGTACATATTCCACTTACAACTGTCAAGGTCCAGCCTCAAACTTTGGCGAGAGCATCTTCCACTTTTGCCTTGTCGCTGGTGAGTCGAAGGAGGCTGTTGGGCACACCAAGGCCTCGGGCTGCGCAGGCACGGACAGCGCGGGAGTATGGGATCCTTCGAAGGGTTCGGGTCTGCTACAGAGGGCAGTGTTTGGGATGGATCGGATGGATATCTATATTTATATAAATTTATAGATAAATATAGTTAAATATATATATATATACACACACGTAATTGTATATATTATTTATTGCGATGATGATCACCAAAGACTTCCTACATGATGCGGTTTGTAGCCAATGTTCGCGGAACCCCTGAGAAGCATTTTCTCTCATGTATCTGAATTACGATACTTCACCAACCTGAAAGAAGACCCCTTGCATGATTTCTGATGTCATCGTTGGCAACTTCGTCGTGAATCACCAGACGTGCTTGACCACTCGTTAAATCCACAAAAAGTTTGATGTGTATGGAAGAAATACCTACAAGAACCCCTACACAAACATGACAAAGCATGACTGTGTCGTTTTCCCAGTCATGGAACCCTTCCTGCACGGGCTTCTGCAAGAAAGCCTTGGTGCTACCAAGACACTGTACAGAGTAGTCGCCACCAGTACACAAAGCGTGCCAAGCACGAAGAGCATGTCTGGTTGGAACTCCTGCAGTGCACCGCAGAAGCTTCAAGATCTTACTTGGGAGAATGGTTCTTCATCACACAAATGTTCATCAAGTTTCACCAAGAGTCCTCAACTTTCATCACCCACCCAGAAAATAAGCTTCGGTGGTATCCCCAACAGCCACAACGGGCCACAACGTTTTATTTTTACAAATCTTTCTGAAGCATGCTGCGAAGCCAAGCGCTGGAAACACCTCAGCTGGGTTTCCGTGAATCAAATGGCCGCAAATCTTGTTAAACCTGACCTGGCTCTGCACCAAAAGCCTCCCGAAACCTCCTCCGGAACCTTCCGGAACCTTCTCCGGAACCTTCTCCGGAACCTTCTCCGCAACCTTCTCCGGAACCTTCTCCGGAACCCTGTTGAACCTGACCTGGCTCTGCACCAAAGCCTCCCAGACCTTCTCCGGAACCTTCGGAACCTTCTCCGGAACCTCGTTGAACCTGACCTGGCGCCTGCACCAGTGCACACCGGATCTATTCTAGGCTGAAGACCCCATTAGCTTACGCTGTTGGGGAAAAAGTGTATAGGGGTCAGCCAGCAGACTGAAGCCTTGTGAGAAAGAAAAAGTGAAGGAAAGCAGGACTGGATTTCGCAAGTGTAAAAACACTCTGTTTGATGTGATGCATGACATTGTTTTCAGGACTCATGCGCATAGACGACTTACATGGACATCGCTTTGAAATAACCAACAAACACCATATCCATATCCTGCAGCAGCACAGAGGACATCAAACAGCTGATGACCTGAGGCAACAGAGCTGAACGCAAAGGGTTCAAGGGTCTCCAAATTCTTGGGACATTCGAAGTCACCAGTTAATGTGCTAAAACGGAACCTTTGGATACCTTTGGACCTTTGGTCCAAACTTGCCCAGAAATCGCATGATCGCAGCAAATGGAGATCTTTCACACAAAGAACGCCTGTTGGTCTCTCATCATGAGCATCCCAATGTGAAAACAATTTCAGTTGCATGGCAAGCGGCAATGGACAAGGCATTCCCGAAGCACTTCAGGATATTGTCCGCATATTTGAGCACTGCTGCCACTACCAGGCCTCCGATCGCCTTGGTTGAATCTTATTATTAGGTCCTATTGGTCCTATTCCCGTTGATTGTCTCTCAGAATCCATCCTTGGATAATCAGCTCATGTGGGGGTTCAAGTAGGGATCCAGAAATCAAACCACCAACTCACAGAAGCACCCAGTCCCTTGCCTGTAGAGCAATCACGGCCCAAACCAGCATTGAATAGCCTTGCCATCAGCTATCCATGCCAGGCGGAAAGCATCTCCGGGGAAGTGCTACTTACTTGAATACGTCTCACCATATTGAACCCTCAATTGCACGTATGGGTCAAACTCAAAAATTAAATACTCAAATATTCCAAAAATGGAAAGCCTTGAGCCAGCCACAAATATCACCGCATCCCTGGAGCCAAGCCTTGCATGAAGCCGTTCTCCGCGATTTTTGCGCCATCCTGAAGGAAGCACCCGGCGAAGGCCAGGATACCACCGAAGAAGGCTAGTTGGATGTTCCTGGAGCAGACACAAAACCCAATGGACAAAAAAGTTTCCATATGTTTCCATATATCATATGTATATCCGTATACATATGGAAGTTGGGAATAGGAAAAGCCAGATCCTCGCCAAGAAAGGGGCTCTTCCTATTGTTTGTTGGAATAAGTCCGCTCATGAGACCAACCCTTTCTGGATCTTCTTGGTCATCCTTAAACATCACACATCCGGCGAAGACTCCTCATCCAAATGGATGAGTCGGTCTGCTTGAGGATCTTTTCCAGGTAGACACCTGCTAACCTGAAACCAAAGCATCGCATGGACGTCTGGGGTGCACTGGGTACTCTTAGTGCTACGCCAAGAAGCCCGCTGGTAAAGCACGCAGAAAGAACTGCAGCAAGGCCCACCATGGGGTCGCCATGCACTTCCTCAAAGGGACTGCAAGCGACATACAATAAGTTCCAGTCCCAATTCAAAAATCGATGTCTGCAAATCTAGTGTTGAAAAAACTATGCAACCCGTAACAATCATGTTTAAACACTTGGCCTTACACTCTTACATGTGTGACGTTTCATGGTCATCCCTCAGGCAAACCGAATGTCTCCAAAATGTGTACACAAATGTACACAGTGTATAGGTTCAGCCATTGTTCTGTGCCATTGGGTCCACTAAAATGGCACAGTTTTACATCCTGCCTTGACCTCACCCCTTGGCATCTGGATCAGCGCAACCCCGGTGGTCAGGATCAGCAAGGAGCACCACTTGGTGGTGCCTAACGCCTGACATAGGAACACATCGCAGGAGCACGTTACACACTCAAATATAATTCGTAATGTGGTTGAACCAACCATGGCAAATGTGTCTCGGACATGAGTATGTAACAAGTAATAATCATCAATCTTGGGACCCAAAGTCATGAGTCATCTTCACATCTTCCTATTGCATTTCAGGAACGAAAAGCAGCCCATGGCCTTCCCCAGGATGATCACGCTGAGCACCGCTGTGGTGAGAATCTTCAGCTGGTAGGTCACTTGGTAGACCGCCCCGCTGAGGTTTGACAAGGCGATAAAAAGGAGATTGTTCTGCACCTCAGTTCGGACAATTGAAGCAATTGGATGCAATTGGATCCAATTGGGCCTTGTTGATATCCACTAGATCCAATTTCACACCGGAACCACAGACCTGAAGATTTCCCGGATCAAGCTCTGAGAAAAGGGCATCACAGAAGAAATGCGCCGAGGTCAACAGGGGCAACGAAACTGTTACTTTAAAGCGCACGACCACCCAGTCTGATTTTGACCCAAATGATCCCGTTCTTATTGACCAACCCCCCCTTTTTGCATGAACACTACACTATGATTGGCCGTTAGTTTATGTTAGTTTACTCACCCTTGGTGGTTTCAGATGTTTCAGGTGGTTTCGCCCAGACGACCAGGGCTCCCAGGGCTCCCGGCAGTGTAAAGCAGCGAGGGCACACTGACCTTTAAGAGTTCAACACCACTCCTGCAGCAAGGCTGGGAAAGAAATGGAAAGAATACGTAGTGGAGCACGGAAGATACGGAAGATATAGTGATGGGTCAAGCATTTGGGTATTTGCTGTACCCAATGATCGGCAGGTTGATACTAACAATGACCAGTCAATCTGCAGGTCTGAGGGTTTTCACTGCCATCATCTTTTGGCACATCAATTGGACCACCTAATTGATGTCGCGGCGCTAAACGGGAGGAGTTTCCGTGTGTTTCTATCTCTAAACGATTTACTCACTTGGCTGCTGGTTGAGCCACCCATCCCTCAAAGCTTCATCTAGTCAAGTAGGAACATCGTGCCATTCGGATCATCATCCCACGGTTATGGCAAAAGAAAGAACATTTGCAGGTTGATCCTTATTTTCTGTGTGCAAATTAGTGCAAATAGCTATTTTGGTGGTCAATCCCTTTTCTCAGAGCCATTTGGAACCAGTTATCGCCTGCTGAAGGTGCTCTTCACCGTCTTCACCGCTGCAGCAGGGTCTCCCACTTCGTTGCTGAGGAAAATGAAGCTACAGGTCAGCTTCATGACCTCCGGGTCCCGCATGTGATCAGTTTACCATGGCAACCATGGATCCGGAAACCCACCATACGAATGTTCGAGACAGAAGAATCTGTTCCTACGAATTCTTATCAGTCGCAAGGAACCATCTGGGATTTATGGTTGATCAAATGATCATGATCCTTGTTTCTCTATCTGTTTTCGGATTGCAAGCTTCATGGAGATGGAAATGGCCCAGTTGAATGATAAATTCCGTCTGTGACATGAAAGTGATTGGATCGAATGCACAACGTGTGGTGGTTTTCAACGTCCTCTCAGTGGCCCGGATTTGACTGACACCAAGAAAAAAACATGTTTGTACACAAATCCATTGCTTGTGGGAAGGACAACTCCGAACCCCCAAACCTCAGAGAAGAAGACAGCAGTGGTGTTGAGGTATCTGGGCCCTGCCGGATTCATAGCCATGAAGCCCAGCTGTATATACTGGGAAAAATCCCTTTGGAAAACTGGAAATGCACGGGTTGAAAAAAAACCTGGATCTACAACCCTCCACACATCTGCAGTTTCCATGGTTTCGGGTGAGTTCAGTAGATTTTTCCATCAACTCTACCGGATTTCATCTTGTCTGCATGCATGTGATATACCCTGTTCAATCTGAGGCTGAAACATCTTGAACCACCAGATTGATTTACGAGTCAACCAACAACATCCAACAACTGGATATTTCCTATAGGTAACCAAGCGCCTTCTACTGCCAGCGTCCGCGAAAGGCGCATTGCGAAGACAACACTTACAGTTTGCGCAACCAGCATCAGCAAAGACACCCATTTCCTGAGGCGCTGGTTACTGAGATTTTTGTTGTGGTTTTGGGGGCCCAATTGATTGATATCCTTGAGTCATCATGAGGAATTTGAAGTGTCCGCGAAGCAGGCAATTCGAACATGCAGAAAAAAAACACAGATCCTTGGTTCCCAGTTGTGGTATGTGATGTTCATCCCAAATCGAGAGCATGCCAATGGACTCCCAATTGATTGGTTTTCTGAGAATCACTTAATCTAGGAAAACAGACCAGTGCAAGAATTCAAAACCATCAAAACCAGCGGAACTACAAAATTGGTCATTTTCACTTCGATTAATTACACAATAAACCACTGCCACTATCCAAGTGGGTTCAGAATCATTTCCCATATCTTACCAGCAAAAGCATTTTGATTTTTGACATCAAACCGAAGCACATGGGGATGCCCAAGAAATTTGGCGCGTCACTTTTCGCCATGGCCGTGGCAAACGACTACTGTGTTTAGCTCAGTTGGTGTTTCAAATGGTGAAATCAACAAAACACATTTTGAGAGCACAGGATCTTTGAATATTGTTTATCTGAACATGATTCATTGGATGCCGAATTATTTTTCGGACCATCATCAACGATTCTCAATTGTCAAAATTCAACATGGAAGAGATTTCGCCAAGATCTTCAACATATAATGACCATGTCAAATCATCCTGCTGTTTTTCCTGTGCACTGAAAATTGGCGTCAGCGCTTTAATTCCAGCGCCTGTGTTCAAATTTCGCCACGTTCCATTTAAGCACAACGTGTTTGTCTACAGAATAGCAGTTGCTCAAATTTTCCCCCTACGTGTTCGATGTAAAATCAAGCATGAACAAAACCGCACCAACAAACGGACCACTGGTTTTTGTCACCAATTACTGATTACAGGAACAATGGCAGTCCATCTTTGGTTGCTCTAAAATTGCAAAACGCACAACACGCCGGCGTGCAACAAATTCAAGGCTTGAATTTTTAACGGTCTTGGTCAAAATGTCTGCAGAACATCTGAGGAGACACGCATGCACACAAAATCAGTGAAACAAAAAAAACATAAATCCAAATCCGACACATGAAAAACTGAAAACCAGGAAGTGTGAATGTGACTGAGTGTTCGAGTGAAAGGCAACTCAACGCAAAAGCATCGCAAAATCAAATGTTTTTTAATTTTGTCGGGTAAAAAAACCCTCTCCGCTCAAAAACCTGTAGACCAAGGAATTGCTAAGAGTTGCAGTCCCAATTCCGCAGGCACAGCCATGTTCAACTAAGGATGACTGATTGCTGGGGTGGGGGTGAGCTGAAGGCATGGTTTCAGTTCAACCTGTGATGCGCCAACGAAATCTTCACCCAAACAAGAACATCCATGCATTTGTCACACAGCAACAAAGCATCAAAAGAGCGCTGCGACAATATTTTTTTGCAAGGCGGACAAGATACCATGGACATCTCATCAACTCAAGCGATCGACTGGCTGCCTTTTTTCCTAGACTTGATATAGAGTTTGTGAAAGCACAGATCAACACAAAAAGGACATGGTGGATTGAGAGAGACATGCATTTTCATTTGCGCCGACAAGCGGGTGCGGATCACTTAACTGTTTCGACGAGGCGCCCTTTGGGAACACACTCTGGCCAAAAATTTGTTGCGCTGCCTTGTTTGAAATTTACCAACTACAACTGCCAATCCTTGAGCCAACAAAGCACACGTCTGCAAGAGTTTTGCAAAGATTTGCATACAAAAGTGATTGTTTTCCTCTGAGCGGAAAAGCGCCTGGATAAGTACAGATACTACACATGCACTGGACATGAACTGAAACCAAATTCAAGTGCAAACATGACAGCAAATCTACGTGTTGCAAATGCCGTCAAATGTAAGCACCCCGCCTTGGTGCTGCATGCTTTGCAAGCACCAACACACTACATTTGATCATAGCCAAAAGGTCGAGTGACCCAAAAGAGATTTCTAAGAAATGTCTAATTGTAAGCTTTGGTTGCCGGGGTCCACATTGGGATGCCGCTGCTTAACCTGATCTACTTGGTAGATCTGCTTGGGAAACGTCCTAAAGATCGTACATCCAAGGTATGAAAAGCTTCTCGGCACCAAATTCTCTCAACCAGCATCTGATCCTTCCACCTCTTCGTCTCCGTGATGGATGTCCATCCAGTACTCAGGGTCTGAAACTTCACTCATGAAGCTATGGATATAATATAGCGTTCCCTTCGTTGATCTGCATCTTCCAGCTCTTCAGAACTCTCTGCATCGTCCATGGAACTGAAACTCTCTGCAAGCTGTCGTGCAACTGTATCCACATGAATGCTGCTCTCCGGTGGATACGTTCTCACCTGTAAAGCTCGCATCAAATTGGAACCAAAGTCAAAGGCTCGTTGAGCACCATTGATTGCACTAAGACGCCCTTGATGAGAAAGTTCATGGCTGGGGGAATTTTCATCCTCGCTCAAATCATCTATGTCCACAAGCATGTTGTACACTTCAAGGCGTGTCGCTTGAAAGTTTCGAAGGCACACCATCAAGTCTTGTAGAAGGAGCATTCGCTCACGGTACACATGCTGCTTTCGAAGTTCATTTGTTCTCATCAAACGACCTGAGCACCTGTCATACAGCCATACTATGAGAGCCTCAGGAGACCATTCTGCATCGATAGGTGGCATGGTCTCATTGGTGAACTGTGGAATCCTGTCTTCATACGTACCAGGTTCTGGCAAAGGCTCGGCTGCATGACCAACATGTGGGGCATTTGAACTGGAAGCCATTGGATGCATATCCTGCGCAGCAGCAAGCAAATCGGCTGGTGCCACAGGACCTCCATTAGGCTCATTGTTTTGAACCCCATCATTCAAATCAACCTGAGCACTGTGAACATCAACTGCGGGCTCATCATTGTTGTTGCCGCCAAAACTGAACATGTTTGGAAAAATCCAAGGCAGCAAAAGTAAAACTCCAACCACTGCTGTCCATGCAAATTTGAACCAGTTTGAAGTCTCGTCTGATCCATCCAAATCGCATCCTTGCAGTTGAAGTAAGCTCAAGGCGCTTATCAACGTGCGAATATTCAACCTCCGCACAAACACCCTTCCAGGGTCATCACTGCCTTCTACGCTTTGAGTTGTCTGATTGTAGATACCAAGCACGGCCATCAATGACCTCATCCTGCTGCATCCCAAACGTTTTGTGCCTATGTCAGCAGGATTTGAATGTCCAGAAACGGCAGCAACGCAAATGGTACCGGTGGCAACCAATTGCTGCAGCCATGGAATTCTGCACGAAAGATGTCTCAACCTTCCGACACCCATTCTTTGAAGTATCCCTCTCGCGCCTGAGGAGTCAGTGTAAAGATGGATATGTGTTGCTTTTCCATTCAACCATGCAATCAGCTTTGAAAGGAGGATGGCGTCTGAGCAACCAGAAGAACATGCATAGACTTCAGCTTCTGCCGAAGAGAGGCTGATGACCTTCTGTGTACGTGATGCAGCATACAGCAAACAGCGGCCATAAAAAATCAAGCAACATGATACTGAACGTCTGGATTGTCTGTCTGATGCCCAATCTGAGTCCGTGAACACCTCAATCACGCTTTCACCTGCATCGTAGTTGTACTGCTGATGGTACACTCCACTGCATCTTCCATCCCACTTCAGAGACATGCAAAGATCGGAATGACCTGAAAGATATCCAACCAAGTGTCTCAACACGCACATGCTTTTCTCAGTTGGTTTCGCTGAATACGTTGACAAGTGTCGCACAACGTGTTGACAATGAGGAAGGTCACTTGCAAGATACATGAGAATCCCAACACACGTACGAAAAGTTGTGCCAGCAATTGCATCAAGCTCCTTGCTGTTGTCCTCTTTGTCCATGTCAGCGTGTCCTGGGCTCTTCTTCGACTGAATCCTTCCATTCATTTTCAGCAAAGAACACATCTGTTGCACATGCTTATGGTGGGTTTGGATTGTCATACGTCCATCAGCATGAAGTACATGGGTGCGCTTCAAAAACGAAAGTTCATCCCCTGGGCGCTCAATCACCTGTGCTGAGATTTCATACTTTTCACGCAGCTTCGAAAGCAAAGTGCTCAACACAAAATCCCTTTTTCCAACCACAAGCAAATCGTCCACATGAATGAGAATTGCACATGAGCCATCAGGGCTCTTGAGAAGGCAGGGATACGCTGGATGCTCCTCCATGTTCAACTGTGATTTCAAATAGGACGTGATGTCCCGATACCAAAGCAATGACCCATCTCGTTGTCCTGGCAAAACTTTGCCTAAGGAAAAGCTCTGAGGATTTCCTGCAGCGTCAGTTGTATGTACCAGAGTGGGCTCTTGCTGATCTACAGTTAAGAAGGCATCTTTCACATCCAGACTTGCAAGAACTGCTGAACATTGGCTCCTCATCTCCAGGAAAATAGCAGGCAATATTCGTGAAGTAATTGCACTGCTAGCCGGTGAGAAAAGGCTCTCACGCTCTGGTTGAAGCCAAGCAAATTCTCGCGCCACAAATCTCGAACGCCTCAACCATATAGGGGATCCACATGAGTCCAATTTCTCCCTCCATGTACGCACAAAACGAGTGCTTAACACCTTTGAAGATGCATCCACCAAAGAGGGGTCCTTCAAGACATCAAGGTTTGAAAGTCGCTGAAGCTCCAACTTGTCAGCCAAAGCATCATGTCTTTGCAGCTCCTCGTCACTCACTTGCGGTTCACTTGCACCATATGGGAAAGAAAGCTGCTTGATGATATCTTTCACATTGTCATCCATGTTGGAACTCCAGTCATCTTCCTCCAAACGCTCGGAGTCGTTGAACTCAAGCTCATACTGTTCAAGCTGATCCAAACCCTGTTCATCAAAATGAAACTTCACGGGCTCGTGCTCGTGTTCATACAAACTGAGGTCTGTGCTGGTGACCAAGCTTCTGATGTTATCTGGCTGTGAATCCAAACGTGGTGTCTTGGGTGCACGTTCTGAAACATCTGCACTGCCATCTGACTTTGGTGTCAAAGGCTGCTCTTGTCCAAAATCAACCTTGGCTTTCTTCAAAGAACTTTCACCAGCAGCTGGAACATTGTCACCACGCTTTTGACTTCCGTGCTCATCCATTGCAACATCAGCCACTTCAGAGCTTTGTGCACCAGCGGGCATCAGCACTTGCCCCGCCTCGCCTTCTGGGGGCGCATCTTGATCTTCTTCAGGATGTTCAGCTGCATAGGCCTGTACTTGAATGGCCTCCACATCAATCCCTGGAGGTAAGGCTGCTCCAACTCCAAAAGCAAATGGTCCAGAGAGCCGCTTGTTGTAAACCATCCTGTGACCAAGTGAAGCATAGCCAAACTCCCAAGGTCCTGAAACCACTTCACCAAGATCTTCCAACTCAAATGGCTTGGGTCGTCTTCGGATACTTCTGGTCACAAAGATGTTGGCTCCCTTTGCAA